TATATTACAGTTAAATATTTAATTTAATATAATAATTATGAAATGTAATTAATTAATTTCAGAAAAACCTGATTTTTGTAATTTTAAACTATTGGGCCTGATTTTTAATTTTGGAATAGTAAACACCTGACCCATGAACTTTTCCCTTAAAAATTTGACCATTTTACATAGTGAATGGGCCCCACAGTTGAATAGAAATTGGCAAAAAAGGACAAAATGGCAGCATTAATTGATTAGAATTTTCAGTGAAAAGACCTGTGTCCCCAGATTTTTAACTTTCACCACATTAGAAAGGATATTTTTGACATTTCGAATACTAGGTGAAAGACGGTTGCCAGTTGTTGTCCCTTGTTTTTTTGCAAAATTATTTCCAGATGTGGAGCCCATTCACTGTATGAAACGGTCATATTTTTGCTTACAAGTAGGCTGGAATCGCGCCAAGACACGCCCTTAATATGAAGGAAGTTTACAATTTTTACTGTGAAAATTACATCATTCCCTACTTTTCAATATCTATAATCTAAAACCAAATCTGATGTTTAAATTTTCAAAAATCAAATATTTTTTAATTAGATACATTATAATTACATTATATAATTACCCAAATCCACCATAATTATTTCATCTCATTTTCTCTCATCTCTCTCTATCTCAACGCTACCACACAACCCCACACCGTCGGCACCACCACTGCTGGCACCACCTCTCTAGCGACACCACCACCTCCTTCACGAGTCGCTTTGGCGACTCTAGACCAATTGGTGCTTTGCTTAGAACTTGAGACTATATGTACATAGAGAGCTGAAAAAAGTGGGTAGCAGCTTAAATTCCCGAAAATGGATCTGAACCCCATAAGTTTCATCATTCATTGCTTTCTCCACAGATACTCACCGACATAATTTCAAGATAAAACTTACCAATTGCTGTAATCACTCTGAAACGTAGTATAGAAATGTCATCGACTTCGGTTTATGTAGTAGATCTGTTATTTGAATCTATTTTTAGATATTAAATCCAATTTCTGGACCCGAATAGTTCTTAGGTACTTCATATTATTGGGTTTCGAATTCTGAATTAATTAAAGGCTGGAGTTGTTGGATTCATGGTTGCGATTGTGAAGATACAAAGATGCCGAGATTCTTATTCACATTTTTTCTCTGATTATTGTATTTGAAAAGGGGGTTGGAAATTGCGAGACTTTTGAGAGAATATCGGTTTAAGCAATTACATTCAATGTAATTTTATTGCTTACAAGGAGAAAATATCATGTTTCAGATACCTGTTTATTGTTAAATTGTGATCTTAATATTCGATAATCGGTGACTAAAAAATAATTTGTGACCCATAAAAAAATTTGTAACTTGTGTTCGAAAAATAATACGCGACCTATTATTTTAATAAATTGTGACCTATAAAATATGTGATTTGTGATAAAAAATAATAATAATAATAATAATGCGTGACCAAGTGATTTGAGAATGTCACCAATAAAATAAATGAGTT